ACAGCTCTGAAGAATATCTCCACTAGAACATATGATAAGCATTCTAGCAAAGGATTAGGCAAACTATTAAATCATATAAAAACAATCGGTGGTCGCGTTATGGGTTCAGCACATTCACGTAGTCATGTCGTTTTTTATTGATTAGCACGTCGAACCAATGGTGAAATGGTTCACCGAATCGGTGTGCGGACACACGGATTTCATATAGGTGGGGAGAGATGTTGGCGTATGACATCACCACATCATTCTTTCTACTTTTCTTCTCTCTCAGATGGTCTTTGTTGTCTTCTTTAGTCTTTCTCTTGTTCTATACTATATATACATGTGCTAGTGTGAAAAGGAGGGGTGTTCGCGTTTATATTCTTTTTGAAATAAATAAAGTATCAGCTCGTATTCGAGCTAACATGTCTGTCATGTGAACTGTCGGAAAAATGACATTTCAAACAGTCAATTTCGTTAGTCACATCTTCAATTCAGTGTTTTGCTATGTTATTGCTGCTACTGTTCGTTTCAATCGAAGAAATATTTTTCCAATTCCAGTTTGATGAAATTCTTCTGAAAAGGTTGTTGATGGTAATACATATAAAATAAAACCCAACATTTGTGGTAAATATGAAAAGAAATAGGCAGTTAACAAAATATATCGTTGCCAGGATTGTTTTAATTCCGTACATTTATATGAAAATGATAGAATTATTTGTGGTAATGAACTAAAGACAATGATTATCGGAGCAACATACTGTTCCTTTTGTTCTTTTAGTTGTTGTACAAATAGATTTGTAAAGATTTGTTTCTTATTTTTATTTGCTCGTGCTCGACTCAAAGTCAATTGAATGATTAAGATTGTTATCGAGATAATTTGAATTAGAAATGGAATAAAATAATGAATTAACACATTGACACGATTATAAATTGCAATAATTGTTTGATCATAACTCGTCACACAAAGAGTTGTGTTATCAGATGTGTAAGAAAGATCATCAATTGTTCTATAATTGATCAATTCATGTATATGCATGCTGAAGACAAATACGATGAGAAAGAGACTTATACCGAGTGTTCGACGTGTGTTCTTTAAAATGCGAGATGTTGGAAATAAAACCAAACATAAACGTTCAATTGTTACAGAACTTGTTAACCAATAAGTGATTCGTGTGAATACAGAAAGAAGATAAGAAAGGATTTTACATGAATAGAGATCAACACTTTTGTATTCGAATAAGATTCCATTACTTCCAAGTAGGATATGAACGATTTTCAAGAATAAAAGTGACAAGGAACATTGATCAATAACGGAAACAATCAGAAGATAGATTCCAACAGGCATTTTCCGTGCTTTTGGACGAAGAAATGTAAAAAAACTGCTCGAATTATTGAACAAACCAAAGAAAAAGATCAGAAGTGAAAGTGAAATGTATATTCGAAAAGAAATGTGACGATCCTTTCGAATATCTTTGATAATCAATGAATCCAAAGTAAAACTCATAAGGTCTGTTGAATATTGACACATCTTTTCACTGAAACAACGTGGACAAATACACAGAAAATCCGATTTATCATTTAATTCTCCTTTCAAACAATAACCATTGGATAAACACGAAGAACATTGATCCAGTGAATGATTATATCCAAAACATTCAGCACGATAATAATCAGATTCACAAATACAAAGATACTTCAGATCACGAAAGCATGTCAATGTTGTGTTTGTGTTGTTTTTTAATTGACAGATTCGATGATAAAAGAAAATAGAAGTTGTGGAATTAAACGAAGAATTATCAACATTTTCTGAAAAGAAATTTCATCTCTCCCTAAACAAAAGATTTCCACACTTTTTTACCTGTTTTCTCAAATAAATACCACAATGTTTCAACTAATGGGCAATGATTTTCCAATGTCAAATCAGTTGTGAAATTCATTTCCTTTTGCTCAGGATGAAAATACAATAGAAAATACTTTGCTTCTTTGCCAACAGAACTTTTTTCATAAACCTTCAAAACAGCTGTTGTTGGCGCATATTTATCAAGCTTGTCACTGTAAAATAGTTTCAACTCGAAAGGGAAACCTGCATAGACTTGTTGATGACGATGACCCTGATAAAAGTCTAATAATACATCGTCATAATCACTGTAGAAAACTGTTGCAGCAACCACATTGCTTGTTTGTAAGATAGAGTTTTCCGATAACATCAATGTAATATTTACCGTTCCTTTTGATGTTTCACAATAATTTCCTTCAAAGTGATCAGTGCAAAAACAAAGAAACTTGTTGATATCAGTGAAATCATATGTGACAACACAAGTTCCTCCGTTAAAACATGGATTTTGTTCACATTTTCTGTTTTTGATATAACATTCGGTGCCAAATATCGATGCCGGACATAAACACAATGGATAATCATGATTATCTGTTACAATACCACGAGACTGTGGTCGACAAATTGATTTTGGTGAACAATAATTCTCACATTTCTCTTCATAATGTTCACAATAAATTCCATAATAACCACTTTTACATGAACAAAAATATCCTAAATCATTCGAATTGATTATCTTCTGACAGACTCCATTTGAACTACACGAATGATTTAAACAAGGATCATTCATTTTCAACGAATCTTCGGATGGAAAACGTAAGATTTTCGCTAAACGAAATGATGGAAGAAAGTCAAAATAAATTGGATATTTCCAAACTCCAATAATTTCGATTTTTCCACTTGAATGTAAATGAAATGCTTCGAATTGAACTTTGTATAACTGAGTTCCACTTCGATTTATCTTTTTCATCCCTAGAAATTCTTTTAATCGAGGATAAAGAAAATAAATTTGTTGTTTAATATAATCATTTTCATTTTCTCTTCGAGGATCAACATGAAATTCATAATAATCAATTATTTGATTTCTAAATAAAAATGATGTCATCACTTTTATTATATTTACAAATGATCTCAAATTTTTCAAATCGAGATGTGTCAAAACTGTTATTCGATCACTATCATATTGACATTGTTCACCATAATAACTTGATGGACAAAAACAAACTGTATGACCTGTATAATATTTCACGGCGACACCACGATTACAAATAAATGGAAGATAATCTTTCCAAAATTCGATTTCACCATTTTTAACCGAATCACGAACGATTTCATAAACTGTTTTATTTTTAGAATTATCAAATCCAAATACTCGAGTCATTTCATCATTCTCTTTCCAATTTAACGAAGAAACAAACAAATTATTTCGTTCATTTCTAACAACTGATGAACGAATAATTCTATCTGTCAAGTTTTTTCGTAACGGATAATTCGCTAATTGTACTATTTGAATGTCTCTTTCTTGAAGAAATTTAAAAAATTTAATATATTTAAAATGTCTGTATTTCACTGTTGATTGCGTCGATGGTAAACATCGATATTCATCTTCACCATAAGGACATTGCTTTCGGCCGTCACATCGCGCATTTTTTTTACAAATATCATTTAAACACATTACATCACTCGAACTATTGCAATCAGTCTTTGTTTTATTTTCAAATCGAAATTTCTGATAAAAACACACTGCTTTATAGGCTGCATTAACACCTGATGTCCACACATCTATATCCTTGCATAGGTTTTCATATTGTATACAAAGACGATCGTCGTATCGAAAATCAAAACCTAACATACCATAACCTGCACATTGTAATCGATTTCTTTCATCCAGAGCAGTTAAACAATCTGTTTTTCCATCTCCAATTTGTGTCAAGTTGATACATGGACGATATTTTGTGACATTCAATGAATCATCAACATCACTTCGAAAACATGGATATTCTCTGGAAATATTACAAATATCAGAAAATGGAACATTATCGGATCGATATTGTTTAGCACATTTCTCTTTCAATTCAGTTAAATTCGTCAATTTTGAATTATGTTCAGTAAGATGATTGATAATGAAAAGACGTTCTTCATCTGATCCATCACTACAATCCCATTCACCTACAAACAAATCGTAATGGAAAGAAATCGAAAGAATGAGCAGAATAACTTTACCATCACACACCCAATCTAAAGAGATACATTGTCCAGATAAACATTGATATTTATCACGAGAACAGATCCAATTTTTGCACAGCTCTGTTGATTCATCAAACGATGATTTTAGATCGAAAAATGAATTACAATAGTATCGAAATGCATGCGTACTTGTTGAGTCATCATTGCGGAGAGAATTATCAACAATTATGATGTTGTTCGTATTGTTTTTCGATGAAGTTTCAACATATTTTCGAAAATAAATAAATTCTGGGTCAGTTTTCTTTTCCCAGAGAATCTCTGCGATTGGAGCGGCATCACGTTCATCATAGATTTCATCTCGGCGATTAGAACAATCAAGAGCCTGATCTCCCAGTGCACCGACCAATAAACATGTTAATTCAGATGATGAACATTGAAAACGATGACGTTGTATTTGTGGACATGAATTATTGATACTTTTAGATTCTTCATCTGTATAACAATCATAGATTCCATCTCTGACTCGATATTTGGAGATACATCTTGGTTCACAGAGAAATGAAACTTGATAAGAATGATTGTTGAATGTTTTGGAATTGTTCCAACAATTCAGATCATAATATGAACTCGTATAATTTCGAATGCCTTGAGTTCCGTTTTGCATATTGCAAAGAAGCTTTTCCGGCCTCTTATAGTCATAAAATCGAAAATCTTCTGTATCTGAAAACAACTGTATGCCAAATGTGATGAACCGATATCCAATACATTTTATTCCACCAGAATACCCAAACGCGTCGGGTTTTTTCTTTGTCCAATCACGATCAGACGCATAAACCATATATAAATAAGGAGTAAGCAATGGGCCAGATCTCGGATAGGCTAAATATTTCTTTTCACATGAATTGAGAACTACTGAACGGCATTCAGTAGTATTTTTACATGCACAAACTTGATTAAGACCATCACTCAATGCGCATTTCATAGCAAACCCACATGTATCATTAGCGACTGTTGAGTCGAGGCCCAATGTTTGATAATTGAATGAATAAGGTAAACAATATCCATTATCAATTGTCCACCATGATGTCGAATTTCTTGTCACTGTTTCGCACATAAAATTCACGTCTCGCATGTTTTGACAGAAGAACGGCTCAGAATATCGAAAACCTGTGTGTCGATCAGTAGTAAAGGGAATACATTCACCTAGAGAAGGTAGTACAGGTTCACTGACTTCGCATTAAATAAAAATGAGAGCTTACCATTGCCACAAGACCATTGATTATAAGGACACAAATGCTCATCACAAACTAATGCAGGCATTGTGAAACAGGCTAATCCTGAGGCAACAATATTGCTCTTTTCATCTTTCAATTGTTTAAAAATGATGGAGTTTTGCTTAATTGATAATCAGTGTTGTTTTTGCTAGAAGATGAGATGATTTGTGAATAAATCTTTGTCCAATCCATACAATCAACATCGATATCTAACCAATATTCATCTGGAATACACATTCCATTCGCACATCGATATTCATCATCTTCACATTCATTAAATTCTAATTTTTCACAATAATCTTCGTCAATTCCATTCATACATTGTTGTTTACCTAAGTGAAACAAATTAAAAGGTCAAATTCCAACAATTCTCTCCTTCTTACCATCACAAATGTGTCTCCAATCAAGACATAACAATCCTGACTCACATGTCCATGTGATATAACATGGTCGATTATTATGAAGTTGACTACCAACATGAATCTTGCCAGTTGTCATAAGGTAACTTTCAAGTGGTTTAAACTGTTTTGTAATTGCATCATCAAAAGAAGTACTGTGCCCATAAAAAAGATATTCACAAAATTTTCCAAAAGAAGATGGATTTGTACAATTACATAAATAGTTGTCTTCAATTTTCGATGAATTGTTGGATAAATATTTTGAATAACGATCAGTTTGTTCAATACTTGAACTCCATTGTAAAACATCCAATGGCGATACATTGAGTTTTGATAAATTTTCAAATGACCATAAATGACCACCATTGTGACAAGATTCATTGAAATCTCGTTCTAATGGTTGACTTTCGTTCAACTGACGGCAATATTTCACTGCTTGCATCTTATTGTCAATTTGCGATCGCGTATAATAAATGCAATCATAATATTGTACTGATGGAGAATTTTCTGTATAATAAATTAATACATAAAGATTGGAAAATATTGGAAAATAACAGAAAATGTAGAAAAAATTGATCAAGGCATGATGAAGTGTCATTGTAATAAATCGTTTTAAGATTTTATTTTGTCAATGGTTTTTTTCTAAAGTGAAAATGAACTTTGTCTCCGAAGACAAAATATTGCTTCATTGAAAAAATCTTTTGATGAAGATTTTTAATTGACTGAATAAAACAGCAACTTCTTCTATTTTTCTCTCGACATTAAAATGGCACAAAGCTTCTGCTATTTATTCGTGATGATGCAAAGCTGGTATATATGAGAGAAAAAAAGGTAATACTATGCTTGATTATTCCAATCAGGTAATGTCTCTCTCTCTGTGACAATGTTATCAGAACGTGCTTTACTTCTCGAAGTAAAAAAATAGAATGACGTCAATGTTTTATTTGATGACATGATCAAACTATTTCTTCGTATTTCTTTTTATATGCAGAGGGATATTTGCATGAGGTTTGAAGCCCATTGTTCAAAGTCAATCTGTAATTTGGGTGAAAAGAAAATCGGTTTATCGGACCTTAAGGATGTGCGAGTTTAGAAATGAGGAAATAATTCAAACCAAACCATACGACATGTTTCGTCCTTGCTTAACCCTATTGGGGCGGGAGACGCATACCCAGGCAGACAAACTGAGAAAAAATACGCGTAAAAACGTTTGAAAATCTGCGCTTTTCCCGAATTTATTTTCGTTGGAATTTAACGCGTTTTTACGGGTTTTCTCTGAAAAAACACCAAAAATCGCGTATTGCAGGAAAAAACACGCTAAAATTTGAAGAAAAAATAATTGTACAATTTCGCAAACTTATTTTCTTCAAATTTTAGCGTGTTTTTTCCTGCAATACGCGATTTTTGGTGTTTTTTTCAGAGAAAAACCCGTAAAAACGCGTTAAATTCCAACGGAAATAAATTCGGAAAAAGCGCACATTTTCAAACGCTTTTACGCGTATTTCTTCTCAGTTTGTCTGCCCGGGTATATGCGTCCAGTTTTGAATAATTTCTAACTGATTTACGCATACCTTTTATTTTGATATTATGACTTAGGCTATTACACAAACCATCATTAGGCTCCACTATCATCCATAGGGCCTGTCCAAACGTAACGTTGTGACACAAATTTTTGGTGATCAATTTTTACACCCTTCAGAGGCTTGGATCGATGCGATTTTTTAAGCTTGAGTCTACTTGGTATTATAAAAATTTCTACAAAAGAATGAGTTCGATATATTGGTGTCGAAGCTCACATTATGGGCAACAAATCAAAAAGTTTACAGGAGTTTTTGAATCACATTTGAACTCAAAACCTATAACCAAATAGCAGAGAATACAATTCTGCATCGAATGACATATAGAACGATATCTTTTGAAGAAAATTTCTGCTGGGGTCATCCAAAATACGATTTTCTAAAAATTAAAAATCTACTTTTTTAAAGAAAATTTTCAGTTTTCCACAAAACGAAGGTCATATTCATGATCAGCGTTAAAAACTGCATCTAGAATAGTGTTTAGAAATGTTATGATGAACAAAAACATTTTTCAAGACTTGATTAGCGAAGTGTCACTTTACGCGGACATACCTCATAATGTGATATCATTCATCATTTTTTTCCTTTTACATCCATCTAATACTTTTGTTCTCTTCCCTGACGTCATTTTCCAGTGATGTTATGTAAAGGATCTTTTTCACCAGAGATGGGCAAGTCAAGCCATGTCAAACTGGGCTTGACTTGACTTGAAAAGTTTACAGATAATCACTGACTTTATTTGACTTGACTTGATTACCTTAACTCATGACTTGACTTGACTTGGAAAAACCTCTGACTTGCCCATCTCTGTTTTTCACTTATCTTCCATATATTCTCCCTTCTGCATCTTCATATGATTTTTTTTGGCTAGTACGTTTTCGTTCGTTTCATTTTACGTATACCGGGTGTTTCATAAATAACTGTGCGATAAGAGATCTAAATATTTCCGCTCGATGTCGACCGATCGAGGTAAAATTTTTACCAATAATAGCGGTGCACTTGAAGTTTGTTTTTTTACCTTAATTGGGATGACAAAGTCAGTGTTAAAGTATTACACTTAGAATGCTCGCTTGGCGCTTGCCACGCTACTTTATTTGTAAAAACATCGCGCATTTATACCGTCGAAAAAGGAAAAATCCAATAAGTGAATGGAAATGTACCATCTCGGATGGAACATTTCCAAATTACCTGGATAGATGGACCATATAGGAATATACCAAGAATGAAAGAAACATATATGCAGGATTGTCAGATCATCCGAATTTTTCGGAAAATTCCGATTTTTAAAGCTTTTTCCGCCTGCTTTCCGACCTTCCGAATTTATCCGAATTCTTGAGATTTTTCCGAATTTTTCCGGATCGTATTATTTTTTTTAAATATTTTCTTTTTATTGCATTTTTCATTGAAAAATTTCGAAAGATTTCACATTGCGACATCTTCAGTTTCCTGTGATCATTGGACAATTTACATTATTCCAATGAATAAGAAGATCATAGAGAGAAGATGCAATAGAATATTAAATGATTGTTTCGAAATCTTATTATATTTAAGGTTCTTGAGATAATTTTATTTAAAGTGTGGTTTTTCAGGGGAAATCCTATGGAACAATAGTATCTCTAGAAGAATAAAATCTGAACATAAACATGAATAAATGTGTCGTTTTTCTGTTTAACAATTATATTTCAGAATAAACCAAACGATGGATGATGAATCTGATAATATATCCATTAGTATGATTGAAAGTGAAGAAGAAGAACAGCAAGAATCTCATCAAATTACATTATTAATACAACCAACAACCACATCAAATTCTAAAACAGCTAAGAAATAAACACGGAAACTTCGGATTTTATCCGAACGTTATGTGTACTCTAAAAAGTGTATGAGACTAAAGCTCCAGAGCACTCTAACCGTAATATAAAGATTATATAACGAGCCACAACAGGCAAGCCCCGGCAGCAGATTTTTAAGAAAGCAAACGCAATAATCTTAATGCGCTGCTCCCGAGAAAATTCCACCACAGCTAGAGACTTCACGAAAAACTCAAGAATGCTCTCACCGTATAACAGTCGAGAGCCCAAACCATCTCCACGTTACAGCCTTCAAAAAGCCATGGTTACCGTCATAGTACATCATAGAAAGATCACAAAGTACCCTCGTATTAAACGCCTTCATGGTCTAAGAGCACCTCCATAGTATAGGACTTCAAGATGCAAAGGTATCCCATAGTATAGACTATGAGGACATATGGATACCCTCATAGTATAGGACATAAGGACCCAAGGGTACCCCCATAGTATAGGACTTGAAGACCCAAGGATACCCCCACAGTATAGCACTTGAGGAGCCAAGGGTAGCCTCATATATAGAACTTAAGGACCTATGAGCACTCCCATAGTATCGGATTTCAGGACCTGAGGGTTTCCCCATAGCAGGGTTGCCAAATCAAAATTTCGGAAATCAGTAGTTTGAAAAGAGAAATCAGGAGTTTTTCAGGAGAATTTTTGTTTTAAATCAGGAGATTTTCTTTGGTACTTAATCAGTTATTTTATGACTTTCACGATATAAAATTCAATTTTTTGGCTTATCATATAGGTACAACCAGGTTTCCACTGTTCATATCAAAATATTGGTGAAAATATTTGGCTATAAATAAATTAGAGCGAAAAGGGATGATATTTTCATAAAACTTGCTGTAATTCTTTTGCCTGAAAGGAGGGTCATATGGAAAAAAAGTTTACCTAACTACCCGTCTGTCCCTCAGTCTGTTTGTTCACTCTAAGAACGTCGGAGTTTTACGGAACCTGTATCAAGGAGAAAATCTTTGCGGTTTCGTAGCGATTTGCTGAACCGAAAACGATATGACGAATATTCTGCCGAACCTCTTCTGGTTTCGTAAATTGATGCGAAACCTCAAAAGATCTTTCCCTCCATACAGGTCCTGTAAAGCTCCTATTTTTGTAGTGTTTGCACGGAGTCGAAAGTCAAACATATTCCATGGCACATTTTGAGTGTGCTCATGGATTATCATGTGGCGCATTTTCTTGTTATCCATGGGTCCGTAAGTTGCGTCTCGTTTCGAAAGTAATGATTTCAACATGAAAAAAAGATTTGAATAGCTTCTTGCTATGGGGATGCTGGGCAAGTTTCTCGGATCATTGGCACAGAGAAAAATTACTTCTGTCTTATATAGTTGAGGGTTAAATGAACCGCAATGACGAACATTACTTGTGTATTATTTTATTATCTTGACTTAGATTAGGATGTGTAAGATTATTTGTTTTAATTCAAAGACTTTTCCTGTGACAAAAAGAAGAAAGGCAACAAATTTTCTTATTTGTCATTATAACCGGCAATCAATGATAGGCTTCTTATTTTCTCTTTTCTTTTCTCTTTAACTTTCTGTTAGCTTAAAATGTCGTTGATTGTAAACTGAGAGAAAAAATAAAATCAGGAGAATCAGGAGAAAATGACAGAAATCAGCTCCTGAAATCAGGAGATTTTCGATCAGGAGAAAAGTACAAAAATCAGGAGACTCCTGGTCAAATCAGGAGGCTTGGTAACCCTGCCCCATAGTATAGGACGTGACCACATATGGGTACCCCCCTAGTATAGGACATGAGGACGCAAGGGCACCCCATAGTATAGGGGCTGCTTCCATGGTACTTGTGACACGAAATACACAACATTCTCCAAATCGTTTGAAACTTTCAGGACTTATGTATTAGTCACTTCTAAGACTTTTTCACTCTTGCACAAAAGTTCTACGACGCCTTGTTCAAGAGCTGTAGCCCAAATACCAAATCCCCTTTGGAACGGTTTTCTAAAGTATCTTATTCATTGTATCACTCCTAGTTTTGCACTACTTTGTGCTATCGAAATTCTGATGATAGATTTGGATTCCCCATCAGCAGGGCTATCAGAATCGCTATTTTAAATTTTTTTTTGGACTCATCGCTGGCCGAAGGGGCTCTAGAAACCCTCTTTAGTACCCAAGTATTCCAGGCCCAAAAACTCCATTTCTAGAGAACTCTGGAGTTCGTGAGACATCTCATTTGATAGAGCATCAAAAGATCTATCGAACCATATGTGCGTCGTCGGGGGGGAGTGAGATTTCACCGAGATAGGGTCTTCAGAAAACCAACATAGGTTTTCGAAAATTTATAATTTTTTTTTTGACAAAATAGACTAAAAATATCTGAAAAAGTTTTCTTTGATGGATTCTGCTGTAGCAGCACGTAGAAGATCCCTTAGATCCATCGAGATTCTACAAAGATCTCTGAAGAACTATCTTGGATCTATGCTATTTTTCATCGATATAAGTGTTAATAGATCAGTAGTGCAATGTTAATATTTTAATTATAAGAAAAGCCTGGTTTTGCAACAATAAGAAGAAGAAGAAGAAGCCGCGAAAGAACGTGTTAAAGTGCGAATGTTTTTGAGTCTGAGCTGCTGGATGTTTTACGACAACTGATACGATTCACTGCCAAAGGATCAAACTGATGTAAACTACGAATTCCGTAAATCCAACCTGTGAAAAAAGGAAGGAAATCTTTTATCAATGTTAGAAAGGATGATGTAACCTTTGCCAGTCTTTTGAGACAGTCGTTTGCTCAGATTCATAGTCTCAGAGTTTAGCTTAATATCTTGCCGGCTAAGATAAAAAACGATGATCTTGGTATCGGTTGAGACGAATTGATAAAGCTCTAGTGGCGTTAGGATGGCATGCTCTCGTCGCCCGCTAAGTACTCGACGAGTTGCACGGTATTTCATAGCCGCTCCAGTACCATCAACTGGGCCTTTTCCATGTGCTGTCGCAAAGAATGTCCATGCAGCAGAAATTCCAAAGTCAGTCTCGTGATGAGTCAAATTCTGCATCGATTTGTTGCTTTTGAAGTGTTGGGGAGCTCCGTCGGTGATATAGTTAACTCGTTTCACATTAGGATAGCGATCACGAATGAACTTAATAATTATACCTTGAGCAGCATGGACAAAATCAATATTATGATCAAGGGAATCACTAACAAAAGCAAGGCTGTGCTGAGTGGTTTTGTCTACAGTTATATGCACCGTAAAAATGGTGGCTTGTGGGGTTGTCCAGTGAGCTTGCTGGATCTCGTGCTGAACAATCAGCGAATGATTTTCAGCAAAATCCATTTGGATGATCACTGTTCCATCTGCACGCGCTTCTTCTTTAATCTTTTTAACGTACTCTTGCTGTTGACGCATGCAGTAGTGGTGGACAGCAAACTTTTCCCACTTGACATCGAACTCTTCAAGCAGATCACGAACGGAGCCGCTGACACGTTGCATTGAGATCTTTCCAACTGTGGTCGGTTCGTCGTCAGCATCGCCCACCCTCTTCGTCGACACAGGCTGGAGAGAATCAACTTTAGATTATAGGTAAACAACGCGCATAGGGAGACACTCACTGATTTCCAAGTCATCCAAGTAACATTATCATTAAGCGTCACATTCTGGCAACCCAGAAGCTCACTGAAAAGAAAGCCACCAGGCCGCAACCACTTGCAGTCATCGCACTCTCGAAAATAGCACGTTTCCGTTTGCGAAGAGCACACACATTCAACAATAAGACTTTTCATATTCATGGGGATGACATCTAGGTTGTTCCAACCCTATCGAATAAAATAGATCCTGGGTTCCTCTGTGTAAAATTCTACCTGAATGAGCAGTTCGAAGTTCTCATGATAAATGCAAGTACAAACATCGTGTGGCTTGTTAACCCTAATCCATTTTGGACGTAAGTTGTAAAAGCTCGATTTTTGTACGGAATTGAGTGACTGCTTGGCTTGCAACTGTTGTACAAAGAGTTGATAGGCTTGGCCTATAGTCATTGATATGTGTCGAACAGCTACAGGATTCTTTTGAACGTGAATTACATCACGTTTGTTAGGAGACTGACGGCTGATGCCATCATCACTGTAGAAATCGATAATTTCTTGGGCAAGGAGCGGATCAAGACAGATGTTGCCGCGCCAATCAACAGGTACGGCCAACCTGCCGTATGACTCGCGAAGGGAGATGCTCTTTTGAGCTAGATAGCGAGAGCATTCGAAGTATTCCTCAACTTTCGTTCTTCCCCATTCAGGTGGAGCCAGAGTAAGAAGACGAACTTGCTCATGTCGATCACTGGAATTTATTAAAAACTTGAAACCATCGAGAAGATATTCCTTATCAGCGAGTTTAAGCGATGAATGACTTGGAAGCTGGGCGACGTCTTGAACGTGTCGCAAGGCTTCTGCCGCAGATCGAATCAGCTCGATAGCCGTCGTCACTTGTTTGTCCAGTTGATTTGTCTGTCGTCTAAACAGAAATCAAATTAAGAAATGGAACATACGAGGATCTACTTACACATCTCTAATCTTCGCAATTCCCAGTGCATCAAAAACTTGATTCAGCAGTTCTTTGGCCTGTTCGAATTTGTATCTCATTTCGACACTCTCTATCATGCTATGACTTCCTGCAGATATTGGTGAATCGACTGATGGAGAACTCACATGCACACCCAAATGCGTATGAAACCGACTGGTTTCTGTCTCATAACAAGTTCGGCACAGAACCCATGTAAAAAAAAGAGGCAAAACACCCGATGATAATCGATTTTTTCGGAAGAATCCATAAAATCAGATTATATCCCAAAATTCTGATTAAATACGAGGAAAAAATAGATTACCGCCGATTATCTCATAAATAAT